AACAGTAGATTTTAACTAGAAATAAAGGTCAGATAGTTCTTTTAGGCACGCATAATCCCTCATTAGATACAAAACCTAGGTCTTTTTCTCCTAGGAGGTGAATCAGAACTGAAGCAAAAAGGAAGTAACACATCCCTATGTGTGATAGTAGTTTCTACAATAGTGGCAGGGGCGTTCAGTGACAGATGGTTATAGAAATAGAAAGTGGAACAAAAATAGAAAAAAAAAAAAATCTCATGCCTGAAAGCTATGAAAGCCAATAGATAGATGACGTTGGTGAGTTCATGAGAATCAACCTTTAAAAATTTGATATAACAAAAACATCTCATTCAACAACGAAACCCGTATTAGCGAGTGAGGAAAGTCGTTTTGATATATGGTAACGTTAACGAAACATCTCATTCCACCGTTGATGACGTTAGATTCAAACTCGTATTTATCATACAATATTTGTGGTGTTTGCGAATGTACTTGTCGAGCTTGAGAGGAAAGTCGTTTTGATATATGGTAACAATTTGGTTTGAGCTGAGCAACCGACCTGTGGTTTGCCCACTTGGCTTCTTGTTTGCCGTCCGACGATTGTTGTAACGCCATTTTTTATCTATATATTTACCATTTACCAATCAAAGAAAAAAAAAAAGGATAGCCTCTATGTCTCTGTTAGATCCAGAAAGTAATAAAAGTAAACTGATAAAGTTAGATTTACAAACTTATCCATTAGTACATTAAACGAAGAAGATCTTTGACAAAAAGTCGTAAAATTCCCACATTTCTCAAAAAGTAAATAATAAAAGAATTGCAGAATATGTAAAGTTAAAAAATAAACTTTAAGAAAATTAATATAGTAGATAAATTGAACATCGACGAATGACTCACGATTTTCTACATTTTTGCAACGAACTTTGGCTAGCGAATCTTCTAGGTAGAAAGCCCATGTCTGTAAAATTGCTTCCTTCCCGTTTTACTGAGGTTGTGATAAGTGGCAAGGTGGCGACCGATTTGGAGTGATTTTCGTTAGGGTTTAGAAATTGAAAAAGGTGAAAAATTGAGCTACCTAAGGGCAAAAATGGCACCAGATGCAAATAAATGTGATGTGTCGAAAAGAGAAGCTAATCGGAGACTTCAATATCAACTTATACGGTGTTTGAAAAAATTAAAGTAGGTAATTGAATTTGTTATCATTAAGTACGTAATTAATTTATAATAGAATTATTGGTTATGTTGCAAAAGTGTGTTGTTGATTGAATACCGTTTCAGATCGTGTCCTTTTCTCCAAATCCGTCGCAAAAAACCCTCCTCCCCCCTTTCCAGATTTTCTCGTCGCCTTCCCCAGCGGTGGGACGCTACTGGACCACGCGGCCCACTTTCGAGAGATGCGCCACAGGGAGGGGTTCTTCTGCGCTATTGGGGAGGGTCAGGTAGGTTACTCATAAAGACGACCTTGTACATTTATAAAATCTCTCTCTATATATATGATTAAACAATAATCTATAAAAGGTATCCTATATTTTCCCGCTCCCATGTTTTGTTTAGCTTTCAAATTTGTTATAAATTCCCTAGTCAATATTCCTCCTCTTGTACATGAATGATGCAAACAAAACGATGAAAATGAAAAATGAGACTTTGGTAGTGTAAAAGCACAAAATATGCTAAACGTGTCAATTTCTAGAGAAACATCCCCATGAATCCTCAATGTCAACTTCAACCAGTTGGATCTTATCAAGATTTAATGCTTTTCCATTATCATTCTATAATAAAACTTACTGGCCATAAACATATAGATAATTTAACCCAAATTTCAAGTAAATTACAAAGGGACCACGTACACTTCATTAGTAATTGTATTCATTTAATATGTACAAGCTATTAATAATCCGAATCATGTATAATGTTTTTGACTTTAAAGGTGATTGACTTTAGGTCCAACATCTTCGCCTTTTATGCATGTGTGTCACCGCCCAATATATATACGATGTCGCAATGCTCTTCATTGCACAAAAAAAACTCAGTATTTATATATATATATAATAAGAATTATTATTTACCAAAAATAGTAATCCAAAAATTAGGAAAGCATTTATTGCATACTATTTTTAGATTTTTTTTTCTTTTTTTTTAGTAAAAATGAAATAGCCGAATCAACTCTGCTGCCTATATATTAGGAATGTAAGTCAAATACAAATTGAATCACTTAAAGAAAAGGAATTAGTTGATTCCTTCATAACACAATCTTATCCCATATCAAAATACGATTATTTTCGAATTTTATTTTTTTTTTTGTACATAAAATCGAATCAGCCTAATAAAAATGTTAAAAAATTATAACAGATCTATCGACTTTTGAAATGAATCTTCGAAAATCAATAAAAGTTCACAAAATTATATCACAAAAAAATACTTGCAGTATGAAAAAATTAAAAAAAAAAAAAAAAAAAAAAAAAAAAAAAAAAAAAAAAAAAAAAAAAAAAAAAAAAAAAAAAAAAAAAAAAAAAAAAAAAAAAAAAAAAAAAAAAAAAAAAAAAAAAAAAAAAAAAAAAAAAAAAAAAAAAAAAAAAAAAAAAAAAAAAAAAAAAAAAAAAAAAAAAAAAAAAAAAAAAAAAAAAAAAAAAAAAAAAAAAAAAAAAAAAAAAAAAAAAAAAAAAAAAAAAAAAAAAAAAAAAAAAAAAAAAAAAAAAAAAAAAAAAAAAAAAAAAAAAAAAAAAAAAAAAAAAAAAAAAAAAAAAAAAAAAAAAAAAAAAAAAAAAAAAAAAACTCATGTATTTTGATAAAAAATAAAGATCTATAACTAGATTTGAGGTGTTTTGTGTTTAAAATTTCGAAAACTTAATAAAAATACAGAATATAAAACGCAAATTTTAAATAAAAAACACAAAAACAAATTAAAATTGACCCAAAATTCATAATGCATACTTTTTGAAACCGTGAGAGGTATGGAGATAAGTGAGAAGAGATAAGATAAATGCAAGGATGCGGAGAAAAAAAATAAAAGCCCTAAAAAATTGGACATGGAATGCATTTTATATTTGATAGATTTTTTCCGGTCCATTGGATTTATGTTGACAAATTTAAGTCGTTGGATCAATAATATAAATGAATTCGGATAGATTTAATTTCATCTGATCTGGGCCGGATGTTTGCGCTCTATTCATACTCATAATATTCTTATTCTTATATTGGGCTATTTATTGGATCCAACAGTTATAATAAAATGGCCAATTAAATTGTTTTATACTGTTATTTTCGTCCAAATATATTGTCCCAATTTTTTATTATATGTTTTATGAGTTTTAAAATTGGTATGAGTTTTATAATGAAAAAAAAAATCAATTTCACAAGATTATATTATATTTCACAAGATTATATTTCACAAATAATTACAAGTAATCTATATCTATATCTATATCTATATATAAAGAGAGAACCTATTTACCAAAAATATTAATAACAAAAGTCAACCAAGATTTATTGCATTCTATTTTGCAGTTTTGAATTTTCTTTTTAAATTATTCCCAAAAAATCGATCAGCTATATAACACCCTAAATTCATGGGTTTTGTGGATTTAATTTAGTTAAATTTCGACTGATGGTTACAATTTTGCAAAAGTCAAAATTCTTTCTCATTTTTAATTAAAAAAAAATGAAACTGATCACCATAAGATCGGGAATTTCGAATTAGGCAAAATACTATCACATATATCTTTTCCTAATTGCAACAGATCAATTGTTTAATGAAAAAATAGAATTGCATAAAAATCGGGTTAATTTAAGTAAAATTCGGCATGATAATTTTGTAAAAGTCAAAATTCTCTCATTTTATATTAAAAAAAAAAAAAAAAAAATTGTTTACATAAAATCGAGAATTTCAAATTAGGCATAATACTATAACATGTATCTTTACCTAATTGCAACATATCATGTTTATTAAAAAATCGGATTGCATAGAAATCGGACTCAATTTCAAATTGAAAATAAA